ATCCCTTTACCTCCATTCTCTTGATCTTTGGCATGCACACAGCTTGCATGTTTCTTCAGCTGCTAAGTCTGGGATAGGAACCGCACAGTGGCAGTGTGAGATCTAGTTGCCTTAACCACCATGCCACCTACCTGACCCTACAATTTAAAAAAAAAATTTCTGGGGGCTGGCAGGTGGCATGGTGGTGAAGGTGCTGGACTCCAGTATGCTAATCACAGTTCGAGTCCTGGACCTGGTGGCTTGCTTTCCCACTTTCCCTCCCCCCCCCCACACTCCCTCTCTGGTCAAACTAAAATAGCTAATTAAAGTTAAATAAAATAATTCTTAAAAAAATAATTTTTTAAAATCCATGTTAGAACGTGTGCTTGCACGATAGAAAGAGGTGAACCCTCAACAGGACCTGTAGGCCATCCCGTGATCCCCTTCCTCCAGTCCTCCAGCCATCAGAGCCCGGGCAGGTGCCCACTTGCTCAGCATATTTGAGGCCAACCAGGTGAGGGGTTTGAATTGTGGTTGCCATATGGGATCTGGTTTCTCTTGAGTAGCATTTCACTGCTACACCACAGAGCGGGCCTGATTGTAGACTCGTTTTGAATGAATATATCTGATGGCAAGGTACTTTTAGGAGGTAATTGTTTTCTTTTCTGTTTTTCCATGCTTTGTTCCAGGGAGTTTCCCAGACCATGTTGTACTTTCTTTCCTTAGAGAAGTCTTATCAATTGCAAAGGCTAAATAAAAGACAAAACATTTCTGGGGGCCAGATGGTGCAGAGGTAAAACAGGTCACCCCACGAGGCCAGCCCCTGTGGGAAGTTTCCAGGTTCATGCCAAGAGACCTCCTTGAATACCCTGGGCATGCATGTACCCATGATCCTGGGCTGTGTCGTGGTGTCAGGACGCTGTTGGGGATGCTGTCTCTCCATCTCTCTCAGAGGAAATAAATACACTTTAAAGAGAAAGGAAAAGATGGCCCAGCAGTTGCATGCTGATTGAGTCTCTCGGTCCCACATGGCCAACTTCTCAGTTCAAGTTCTGAACTTGTGGCTTGACTACCATGCTGGATGTGTGTGTATCCATGCCCCAAATCCCAAGAGAACGGAGAAGGGATTGCAGCATGGCTCTCCCTTCTGGGGGGCAATTTCTCAATTTCCTCTTTATCTATCTTTAGTGAGCATAAGCATCCTATAGTAAACTAAAAATAAACAGATAAATAAAGGCCTAGCTCATTGTAGTGTGTGCTAGACACTTGTCTGGCAGGTTGAGGTCACATAGGAAGCCTGAGTTCAATTGTAGGCCCACCCCTAAAAGCTGGCATAGGGTGGTTCTGTGGCACAATGATAATGTACTTCTTGAGAAATTGGAGGGGCCAGCAGGTGGCATAGTGGTTAGGGGTGCTGGACTCCCACGTAGCTGACCATGGTTCAAGTCCCAGACCTGAGAGGTGGTTTTCCTGCTTTCTCTCTCTCTGTGTGTCTCACTCTGGTCAAATTAAAAAACCAACAATAATAATTATAAATAAAATAAAGGAAATAATACTTTAAAAAAAGAGAGAGAGAAGTTGGAGGGACCCGGGATGAGGTTTTTTTTTTTTTTTTGAGAGGTTTTTGCTATAGGGCACATGCGCTCACCAGATAGAGACATAGATAGAAAGCGAGAAATCACCCCCCAGGGGGGATGGCCATGCCTTCTCCATTCTCCTCTCGGGATCTTGGGCACGCACGCACACGCACCCGGCATGAGTTTTGTTTTTTTTTTTTTTGAGAGGTTTTTGCTATAGGGCATGTGCGCTCGCCAGAGACAGAGAGACAGAAAGCGAGAAATCACCCCCTGGGGGGGATGGCCATGCCGCAATTCATTCTCCTCCATTCTCCTCTCGGGATCCTGGGCACGCATGCACACGCGACTGGCGTGAGTTTTAAGCCACCGGGTCCAGGACGCAAACCACAGTCAACTACGTGGGAGTCCAGCAACATAGCCATTACGCTAACTGCTGGTCCCCCGGCGTGAGTTTTAAGCCACTGGGTCTGGGATGCGAACCACGGTCGACTACATTGGGAGTCCAGCGACATAGCCATTACACTAACTGCTGGTCCCGGGCATGAGTTTTAAGCCACTGGGTCCAGGACTAGAACTGCGGTCAGCACATGGGAGTCCAGCACGTAACTATTATGCCATCTGCCAGCCCCACTCGTTTTTTGTTTGTTTGTTTTTTAAGAGATTTTGCACTCGCTGGAGAGATGGAGTGAGACAGAAAGCAATAAATCACCCCCTGGAGGGATGGCCACACAATCCCTTCTCCACCATTATTCTTTCAGGTTTTGGGGCGGGCATACGCACCTGGCATGAGTTTTAAGCCTCCATGCCTGGGACTCAAACTGTGGTTGGCCATATGGGAGTTGAGTATCTGCTGATCCGAGGTTTACTAGTTTTTAACATGAGAAAACTTAGACATAAAGGGACCAGCAGGTGGCGTGGTAGTTAAGGCGCTGGACTCCTACATTGTCAACTGCAGTTTGAGTCTCAGACATAGCAGCTTTCTTTCTCATTTTCTCTCTTTCTCTGATCAAATTAAAAATAATAACAAATGGGGGGAAGTATACATAGAAATTAACATGTTTCACCGGCAGGTGGTATGGTGGTTAACTCCTACATAGCGAACCACAGTTCTAGTTCCAAACGTGGTGGCTTGCTTTCTCACTTTACCTCCCTCTCTCTCTCTCTCTTTCTCTGTCTCTCTTGGGTCAAATGAAAAATAATAACAAATAAAGGTCGGCAGGTGGCACGGTGGTTAAAGTGGTTGGACTACCACATTGCAGACTGTGGTTCAAGTCCCAGACCTGGCAGCTTGCTTTCTCTTCTCCTCACAGGTGGGGCTGCTTCTGTACCCCAAATCTAGCCTGAAATAATTCTTTTTTTTAAAAATAATTCTTTTTAAAAAAGAAATTAACTTGTTAAGGGTTGTTTAATTTTTAAGGTTTTTGCCATCAGGTGTGTGCACTCACTGGAAACAGGAAAAAGGAGAAATCACCCAGCCCAGGGAATGCCTATGCCACAGTCCCTTCTCCATTCTCCCCTTTGGATTTTGAGCAGATATCCACACGTGCCCGGTGTGATTTTCAAACCACTAGGTCCAGGCCTTGAACTTCAGTAGGCCACCACCACCTGCTGACCCCTATTTTCCTACTGAACAACAAAAAATTGTCAGAAAGCGCCTGCACTCACCTGACAGAGTGAGAAAGCACCCTCCTCAGGGGAGTGGTCAGGCACCAACCCCTTCTCCATTTCTCCCTCCCTGGGGGTTTGTGTGCATGCACGCGCGCGCGCACACACACACACACACACACACACATACACACACACAGTATGTCCAGCGTGTTTCTCAAGTCGTTGGATCTGGGCGTAGAACCAGTGGATCCCTGAAACACTGGATAGGGGGCGGGACTGTATCGCCAGGCCTCAGTCCAGGGGCTGTTTAACCAGTTCTCCAGGGAAGAACGCCCTTTCCCTCTCACAGTCCGTCAGCACTCACTACACAAAGCATATGCAATCACTAATGTGTGCTTTACTGGGCACTCGCAGCAGTATTCAACATAAATACAACACTAGGCCAAGGACCACCAGTTGGCGTAAAGGCTATGTCGCTGGACTCCCATGTAGTCGACCGCGGTTCGCATCCTGGACCCCGAGAGGAGAATGGAGGAGAAGGGATTGCGGCGTGGCCATCCCCCGGGGGGGTGATTTCTTGCTTTCTGTCCCTCTGTCTCTGTCTGGAGAGTGCACGCGCCCTATAGCAAAAAAAAAATCTCTTAAAAAAATTAGGCCAGATCTAAAACGTGCCTGGGGTTTTGTCCTTCCTGCCACCTCTCTAATAGAAGCTTTTGAAGGACAGAATTACACCACCCTAGTGTGGCGTCCCCTACGGCGCCACGACACACGGCACCGTCTCGGAGGCCCCCATCCACCGACTCCTTAACGCCCTGGCGGAGGGAAGGGAGCTGGGCGGCGCGGCGCGGCGCGGCCTGGGGGCGGGGTCCCCGGGG